CCGGTTAAACCGGTAACCGAGATTATCGGTATTCGGCTGGGAAATAGGGTTGGGCGGTATGCCGGTATCGAAATTGCGGTTTACCGTCGGCGGCTCGGTAGTCCGACACCGACTGGGAAATAATGAATCATGAATGGGCCGCCCAACTGTGGCAAGTTGCCCAAGACCTCAGCCGCCAAGAAGGCAAGAAGCGTCGTGCGTCGCGTCGGCAAGCAACCCTAAGAGGTAAAACCTAAAACACGGACGATCTCTAATTCAGTAATTCTCTATTCTCGAATCGACTTTTGCATCCCCCCCGGCCCCCTGAGTGCTGCACCGTGCACGACCGCCGGCGCCGATCCCTCCTCCTCCGTTGGCTCGTTACTCTGTTTCATCACCGGTTGGCTCGTTGCCTGAGACTGAGTGCTGCATCGTTGCTCTGTTTCATCAACGCCGATCTCAATCATCATCGTTGGCTCGTTGCTCTGTAACTCTGTTTCCGTCGAAGCCAGTCGTCGCCGTCGAAGCCAGTCGTCGCCGTCGAACCCGTCATCATCGCCGTGAGAACGTCACCTTCTCCGGCTGTTCGTACTTCGTATTCGTTCATTTAAAATTTTAGAGGTAACCTTTGGCCTTTGATGCCTTTGACCTTTGATGCCGAGCAGAGCAGTAGAATGTAGCTTTGGCCTTTGAGCCTTTGACTTCGTTTGATACGTAACATTTGTTGATTTGAAAGACAGCCGAGCCGACAACAGGGAGAGTGGGAGACAGTCAGACAGCAGCCAGACAGGGAGGCGCGCGTTGATGAAATTCAGGCAGCCGGTAATTCGGGATTCGTTTCCCTTACCGTTACCGTACCGAACGGTAAGGCGGTATGCCGGGTGGAGAAGGGTTTCGGCAGCCGGCCACTGTTTTTGCAATTCCGGTATTACCGAAACCGGTAAAACGGTAAACGGTAAACCGGTTACCGTACCGTTTACCAGCCCTAATTTATGAGGATCTATGTACGAATAATATGGTTATGTAATTGACAATGTTTAATGGAAAATAAGTTATTTAAGTATCAAGAATTTTTGAACTAGACATATCGATTATACATGAATTAAAAGGAAAAGCTATTTGAATTTGAGACGAAATCCTATTATTGTGTTTTAATCTGGGTCATAAGACACATAATAAATAGTGTTTTGGCCATCCAATCTACACATAGTTATTATTGTTCAACCACCGAACCCATCTAACCTAGTCAAAGGGTGCATATTTACTCCCCTTCGTCATTTTCCTCCTTTTTAATTTACTTAGCAAGACATAGAGTGGCTCTTTGCCACTTAGCAGTACACGTGTAGGAGAGGTGAAATTAATTAGGTATTGAATGAAATTGAGGGCATGAGGAAGAGTCAGTAACACCATCCTTGATTGCTCTATGTGGAAACCGTGAAATGGAGAGAGAAGCAAGGGAAGAAGAAGTGATATAAACCTTTCCTTCATCTCATCTTCCATTTCCCTTTTTCTTACACGTATGAAGCCATGCACCCAAAACTAGCTCGCTCTAGAGTTTCCACGTAGCTCATATCCTCCTTGTGAAAAGAATAATATAAGTCAAGTGAAGAGTGAGTTAGAGGGAAGAGAACGAGAGACACCTACCTACCACTTTTGTTTTCTCCTGAAGATATGAGAGGAGAAGGGCCATATGACTGTATTAGCTTTATGGCCATAGAAATTCACCTTCCTTGTGGTAAACCGCCGATTTAGCAAGCTAGAGGAAGAGCCTTACGTAGGGAGGAGAAACAAGGAATTGACAATACACGAGGTATATCCAAGTTGCCTGTTACTTCTAATGGCTGTATATATATATAGAGTGTCGCATAAAAAGAGGGGTATTGATTCATGCATGTCAACTAGAATCTGCATGTTCTGTTTCACACACAGGAGTATGCTTCCAATAGATTATCTAATAAATTGATGATAAATTAATCTAGCATGGCTATCTCGTTGGTCCTTTTGGCTATATGGGGAAAGTTTAGTGGGTTTAGTGTTATGGCCTTATGGGTCTCTTGGGAAGAGGTGAAGCTGACGCTCTCCGTGGTTGAGGGCAACTTTAATTCGGGTTGAGTTCTTGTTAATTACTATGCATTTGAAGGACATTATATATATATATATGCAAATGCAAATGCAAATGCAAGGAGGGAGGAGATCGATTGTGGTATTCGGGTCATGAAGCGGCCCGAGTATAACGTGTATGATGGCTTTGTAAGATTTAAACCAACTGTGATGGAATGTCGATATGTGGTATGGTTACATGATTGAATGATGATGAAATGATTGAATTATCCTATGATTGGATGAGATTACCGTATCGTGATAATTGTATGATAATGTGATGATACGATGAAATGATTGTACGATGATATGAACAGAAGGTCATAATATAAGTTATGTGCGTGCTAAATGGTATTACATGATGAGTATATGAAATGTGAAATGATATTCAAAGCAGTTAAGTGAAAGAAATTGCAAGAATGGTTGTCTATTGTGAATTGTACGAGACGAGATAAAATGACCTATGAGTCATGCAAGTGAATCTGATATGAAATGGCCCTTGCATCACACAAGGGATATGTTGAGTTGTGACTAACTATAAGGCTTGCATGATCACGTAAAGCAAACGTAATGGCGCCCTGTCATGCACTCATTATAAGTGAAAAGAGGCTTCAAGCCTAAGAGATAAAAGAGTTATACGAGAACTCTTTTTAAGGAGTAATGCCAGGCCTGGCTACAAGTTTTACGAGTCTGGCACTCTGTGCCCCACGAGTTTACGAGTTCATGAGATATGGCACTCTGTGCCCACGAGTTCAAGAGTTTATGAGATCTGGCACTTTGTGCCTACGAGATTACGAGTTCACGAGATCCCGGGGAGTGCATGACTTGGCAAATTAAAGAATAAAACCTACTGAATCCAGCTAACTATGTGTATGTTAGTGATTGGATGTTGATACATGGTTGACCTTGGATGAAATATGAGCACTTGAATGTCAATCTTAGTATGAGCATTTTTACTATGCTATATAGTATTGGTACTTTAATGTACAAGACCATAACATTAAATGTATAAGTTTAGGTTGTACCATAAAGGAATTTGTATCATTATGTTAGGGCACAACTTTACAACTTGAAGTTGTACCATCACATAAGGTCCAAGTTTAAATTGTACCATAAAAGAATTTGTACAAAAAGTATAGGTACAATTTGAAGTTGTACCATAACGTTAAAGGTACAATTTCAAGTTGTACCATAAAGGCAAAAACCTATAGCACCAATACTATATAGCATTGTAAAATTCCTCTCTTAGTATTTGTCATGTTTGCGTGATACGTGATTGATATGGCAACCTGAGTATTTGCTATATTTGATATATAGAATGTGAACCCTTACATGAAATCTGAAATATGTGAAGGTCGATGTGTTTTATATGTGATATGAAGTTATACGAGGTATATTTTGTGATAATCTCCTATTACGAGTGGTACAATGATTAATCAGGGAACTATATATAAGCAGTTATGATATGTTGATTTAATTATGATAGCGCCATGAGATGCTGATGTGTATAGTGTTATGTGTTTATAACACATCCCATGATGCAGTGTTAATAGAAGTGCATAGATATGATGGAAAATTCTGCATGGTGTACGAGAATAAATATGAACTATTTGCAACACCAGGTAGGGTAAAGTAAGGGTGAAATCCTAAACGAATCATGTATGACATATAACGTATATGTGAAAGATCAAATGGGCGAGGGAAGAAATTCCATGTAAATCTACATAGGCGAGACATAAGTAAAGTTATCAATTGATTAATTATGCACTGAATTTAATGGACGGAAGACACTCCGAGTCATAACATAGCCTGATATCATTTCGTATTAATATTTATATTAGGTTGTTATTTACTCATTGAGTGACGTCTCACCCCGTCAATATTTTTTCCTCGCAGGACTAGAACGATATCAGTAGAGCGAGACAGATGAGTACTGTCGGCCAAATGGCCATGAGGTGGGCGGCGGAACTGAACTCTCCACAAATCTTCAATTAAAAGTTAGGGAACAAGTAAAGTTTTTGCAAGCTAAGGCTTAAGTCAATACTGGTTTTAAATACAACTTCATTTTCTATTCACTTCATATACAGATTGTAGATAAACCAAGCCTAAATTCATCAAGGAAAGTATGTGGAACAAGGATGCCAGGTAGAGTGTTACATTTGATGTGTGTTATTCATATTATTCTTGGATTGACTCGTTTATTGATTGCACACACAATATGTGGTTAAGTACCATTGATGATGTACATTTAAACATCCCAACACTTGTGCTTAATATGCTTGATACTTATTTCGCCCTAGTTCTTTGCCAGAGCAAGGTTAAAAGTCGATCAATATCTTTGCTTCTTTGAAATTCAAATACTTGAATTTATCAACTATTTTCTCAATATAGCGAGACTGTGACAATGTTACACCTTGAGACATCTGATAATTTTTTGTTTTTGGAATAAAATCGACAACCCATAATAAATGATTAGATTTCTTCCTATCAATTCTGAAATCATTTGACATTATTAACACGTTAGATTTAGCATGCCATTGTTTAGGTGAGTAGATTTCTTCATTGGCTAGTGAGTCTGGTTTACTCCGTTTATAAGTCTATTGTTTTAATGAGAGTTTGACTCAACATTATTATAGCTAACTACGATGAAGTTAAGGTAAAACAATTGTTAGCTTCATAGGAACATGTGATTATAATGAATTTTTCAATTAACCGTATTAACCACAAAAAGTAAAATGACCCATGGCAGATCAGCCCACTTAACTCCCAAGCCCAACTACAGTTCTTCCATTCAGTTCGTTTCCAGTTCATTCCAGGCCGCTGCCCAGGCCTTAAATAAAAATCGGGGGAAAATCCCGAATTATCGCCAGAAAAATATATAACTAGAAAAAATTGGAGGGGAGTCAGGCGTATATGTGTGCAGTCCATAGACCATAAATCTTCCTTTCAGAGGGAGCGGCAAAATCTCTTCTCTTCTTCCATTTTCCTGTTGGCTGTTGCCGTGTGGCTTATCCGCTCGCAGTCATCGTCTCCCTCCGACTCCCTCCCCTGAGTCCCTAACCTAAACCCACCATCCCAGTCGAGGGATTAGGCGAAGTATTTTGAAGGGGCTGGGGAAAAATGGCTGCTTCTTCTGGTATCGGCGTTACTTCTTCTATATTCAATGCGCCATCTATGGAGCTCGCTTCCAGAAGGGGAACAACAAGTCCCACTATCACATCCTCTTGCCTATTCCCCCTTACAATTCCGGATAAGCCTCATCAACTCCTCAGTTCTTCCATAGCCAGCAGCCGTGGGAATGGATTGGGGAGACTTACGCTCCTTATGGTAGAGGGAAGTTCCCGCAGGCAGAATACGGTTCTTTCCGCCATTGCTTCGTCAAATAATTCCCTCCTCAGTGAGCAGGCCTTCAAGGGTCTTGGTGGAATCTCGGGTTTCGATGGTGTCGATAGTGATGACGACGAATTGGCAGATGTTACAGTTGTTGCTGCTGCTGCTGATACCGACGAACTTGCCCTTACCAAGCTGGGTTTGCCTGCACGTCTTGTTGAGGCCCTGGAGAAGCGTGGAATTACTCACCTTTTCCCCGTTCAAGTATGTGGGTTACTAAGTGAACAATTCATTTGTTGGGTTTTTGTTTTTGGTTGCATTTTTAGATTCCTATTTTGGAAGGCAAGCTTTTTTATGTTGTTTTCTATTGAATGGTGTAGAGAGCCGTTCTGGTTCCGGCTCTGGAAGGTCGAGATATCATTGCTCGTGCCAAGACTGGCACTGGGAAGACTTTGGCATTCGGCATTCCGATAATTAAGCTCCTCACTGAAGACACTGAACTAAGAGGGCAACGACTGTGAGTGTTGTGTTTGTCTTCTTTTCTTAGATGGGCAGACCTTGCCTCCAGAGTTGTCAACTATGTGGAGTTACATGTATATATGCTTGTGTAACCTTCCTTATATGGTGTTTCGCTAGGCGAACTGGCCGGCTTCCGCGACTTTTGGTCTTAGCACCTACCCGGGAGTTAGCAAAGCAAGTAGAGAAAGAAATTAAAGAGTCTGCACCTTATCTTAGCACCGTGTGTGTTTACGGAGGTGTTTCATATGTGACACAACAAAGTGCTCTTACCCGTGGAGTTGATGTTGTGGTTGGGACTCCAGGTCGAATCATTGATCTCATTAAAGGAAACAGTCTGAAACTGGGGGAGGTTCAGTACTTAGTCCTTGATGAAGCTGATCAAATGCTTTCATTTGGCTTTGAGGAGGATGTGGAATTGATTTTAGAAAACCTTCCAGCAAAACGGCAGAGCATGCTTTTCTCCGCAACTATGCCAATTTGGGTCAAGAAATTGGCCAGGAAATATTTGGACGATCCTTTGCAGATCGATCTGGTAATCCTCTTGTTATCTTCCCAATATTTTTCCAGCCCTATGTTTATAAACTCGCCCATTTGACTGTCTGAGAATCAAGGAAGTACCCTTTCTAACAGTTTGATTGAAAATTGGGTTACTTGGTTGATATGTGAGCATATCAGATTGACCAACATAATAACGAAGTGTTCAGTCTTTGGTCCATTCCTTGTGGACAGATGTTGTCCCATTTCTGTTATAGCCTTTCTCGTTTTTTTTGGGTGTGTTTTTGGAATGCACAGTTGATCATTTCTGAACATGTAAGTTCATTGGTATTAATTTTGTTAGGTGAGTGTGGATAGTATTAATGTCCTAACTCATTTCATATTTCTTTTTCTTTATGTAGGTTGGTGAACAGGAAGAAAAGCTTGCTGAAGGAATCAAGCTTTATGCTATAACTACTACGTCCACTTCAAAACGTAGCATGCTCAGTGATCTTGTAACTGTATGAATTATTGCCCCCCAACTCCATGCCTCATTTAGTTACTGATCAAAGTCTAATTGTTTTCCACTTGTCATTAGGAGTACTCACGGTTTTCTATATATGTTTGGAGTTACTAAATTCGACCATGATGCTCAGGTTTATGCAAAGGGAGGAAAAACTATTGTCTTCACTCAAACTAAGAGAGACGCTGATGAAGTCTCCATTTCATTGTCGAATAGCATAGCTTCTGAGGCTCTGCATGGAGATATATCTCAGCATCAGAGGGAGAGAACGTTGAATGGTTTCCGTCAAGGGAAGTTCACTGTGCTTGTCGCAACAGATGTCGCATCTCGTGGGCTTGACATTCCGAATGTCGATCTGGTATGTCTGTTTTGCTCCCTTAGATGAATTTTCAGTCCTTTGAACAAAAGAAAAAAAAAAAAAAAACAGTAGTTAATACTTTCTGTGCCTAGTACAAGTGTTAGTAGCTTATGGAAATTTGCAGCCATATGGTTGAGTTGGAAGTATGGATATAATGGCTAGTAGTTGCCACTGCGATGTGCATATATTGTTCATTATCTAGCCATCTTTAGTTGATCAGATACTACTTGCTGGTATTTCTTACTGCCCTGTGAGTCTGAAGGTAATGCTGATGGAAATGTATTGCATTTCTCCAGGTTATTCACTATGAGCTTCCAAATGATCCGGAGACCTTTGTGCATCGTTCTGGTCGTACTGGGCGTGCAGGGAAACTGGGAACTACAATTTTGTTGTTCTCCAGCAGTCAAAGGAGAACCGTTAGATCTCTCGAGCGTGATGTTGGATGCAGGTTTGAGTTTGTTGGCCCACCAGCCATTCAAGACGTTCTAGAATCATCAGCTGACCAGGTGGTCGCTACTCTTCGTGGAGTTCATCCCGAGTCTGCAGAGTGTTTTATGCAAACTGCTGAAAAATTGTTAGAAGAACAAGGAACAAAAGCCCTTGCTTCGGCTTTGGCACAATTGAGTGGTTTCACGCAGCCTCCGTCATCTCGATCTCTTATTAACCATGAGAAGGTGAACAAATAGCCTTAGCCTTATTTTCTCTGACCAATACAATATTGCATGCCAAGGGTTAGGACTGGTGGACAATGATCTTGTGCATTTTGTTCTTTTTTGGTTTCTGCGAGAATGGTTTTCCTAGTCTAAAAATATTATCTGTTGTTTTCTCTTTTCTGCTTTTCCACAGATTAGTACGCATTTTCTTACATATGTAATTTTGAGGAACATGAATTTTCGCTCTAGCGAGTGTTGTGTGATTGCTAGTATATTAGGCACCCTCAGTTGGCTTGATAACTGTAGTCTGTATGCCATGTATGCAAACAGTGCTGTTGACCTCGGAGATGAGCCTTCATTTGAATGGACCTCGTGAGAGGCTAGCAGAATAAACTGTCAGAGGCACCTGTTTTATTTTGTTGCCAACTCCTAGGTGTTCACTTGGGGCCTCTGCTGTAGTATGCGTCATCTGGTTATTTGTTGTACTGTTCTATGTTTTGGTTATGGGATTTATGGTACAAAGCTATAGTGTCTTGAATGAGCCTGTTCTGTTTGTTTTATAGTACTAAGCTACGGTTCTTGGATTGTGAAACCTGTCTTGCAGGGTTGTGTGACATTGCAATTGACTAGGGATCCAAATTATGCTAGAGGCTTCCTTTCACCTAGGTCGGTGACTGGTTTTCTCTCTGATGTATATCCTACAGCAGCAGATGAAGTTGGGAAAATATTTGTAATTGCAGATGAAAAGGTGCGTCATTTTAGCAATTGTGAAGCCCTTTTTTTATCCAAGATAAGCCCCTAGGGCATAGCCGGACAACGACAATAAAAAGAGTTGCTGAAGATGCAATTGTTCAATTTATGCAGCGTTCAATTTAGTTGGTCTGAAAGAATCAAGTGTTGTGTTTTATATTAGGTTCAAGGAGCAGTGTTTGACCTGCCGGAGGAGATTGCAAAAGAGTTGCTGAAGATGCAATTGCCTCCTGGAAACGTCATTTCGAAGATCTCCAGGGTAATTATTCTGGTCACAGTTTTGGCAATTTCGTGGTTGTACTTTGTTTCGATGCCACTCTAGTAGCAATGGTCTTGATGTGTGCTGATTCTGAGGATGCTTTGTACTCTCTGGCCAATTTGTTTTGCAGTTGCCTGCATTGCAAGACGATGGACCCGTTGGAGATCATTATGGCAGGTTTTCTAGCAGGGATCGATCTACTAGAGGGGGTTCAAGAGGCCAGGGGAGCTTCAGACCCCCGCGGCGTGGAGCTGGTCGAGATTCTGATGATGATTTCGGTAGGCGTGGCGGTAGAAGCCAATTGAGGAGCAGTGGCGACAGTTGGCTGATAGGTGGAAGGAGGTCGAGCTCAGAATCATCAAATAGAGACAGGTATGTCTATACATCAGAAGCAGAGATTATTATCTTTTATATCTTTGGCAACAGAGTACGCTTCGTTGATAACACCAATTGCATTAAACTTTGCGATAGTTGCGCCATCATATGCTTTTCTCATTTGCTTGTTAAATGTGAATTATGCCGAACATCGTCAAATGGTTACCCAAACCAGTCTAGTCTTAACTCTTAAGATTGTTGAGCAACCTTGTCCTTTTGCAAGATTAATAGACTGTTTTTATGGGGGTTGTTGATAATCTTGCCGGCTTTGTTTCTTGTACAATCGGATCATGTGTATTCACAATCACCGTAAAATGTCTTGTATTCCAGATCGTTCGGAGGTTCATGTTTCACCTGTGGGAGATCTGGACATAGAGCTTCAGAATGTCCTAGCAGGGGAGGTTATTAGTAGTATATATGACCAAGGTGATTTGGCCATGCGAACAACAACAAAGTGGTAGCTGCTGGTAATCTTGGTTATCTCAGGCTCTCAGCCATATAATGAATGGTACATATATGCCAAGATGGAGTGCGCTACAGGAAAGTATACTGGATACTGGGACTGAATAGGCTTGTAGCTTATGTTCTCTAGAATCTAGATAGATAGAATGGCTCTAAAAGATGGGGGTATTGGGAGAGTTGAAGATAATGTATCGCCATTTTCGTTTCAGTGTAAACTGTTCTATTTATTGACGAGTATGAAGCAGGGTCTGTTCCCAAGTTGCATGTTATTGGCGAGCGAACACGCTGAGCTATGATTATGTTGTGCATTGTCTTTTTTCTGGGACATAATTTACATCGATATCAATCGAACGTACGCTTCACCATTTTCTGCAAACCTAGTTGGAGAAGTTGTAGATTAAGTTCGCAAGTAGATGAGATTCACCATTGCAGAAGCGACGATACTTAAGGGTGGAAGTTTCAGATGTGCCCTGTTGCATTTTCGAATTGATCAGGACGCTTCTGGCTGCCGCTATTTGAAGCTCCAAACAAGGATTACATTCTGAGCCCTGAGGTACTACATTCTCCAGTGAATTCTCTTTTATAGCGACAACTAATTGATGTAATTGTAGGGCCACTTCAAGTTTGAACAATACTTGCCTTTATAAGTAGGGACCTGGAAATGTGAGAAAATAATGATTTTGCAGAAAAGAGTCGAACTTGTTGAATTCATCCCATCCCATGTTAGGCTATACCAATCAATCAAATGGGAGATTGAGACATCTTCCAAAGTACAACAGCATCAATCCTACTGAAGTCAGGCCCGCCGCTATACAGCAATATCATGTAAAACATTGCCAACACCATAACCTGAGAAAGAGTCCAAAGGTGATGAAAAGGGACCATCTCTAGACATCAAAATGGAACAATGTCCCGCTTCATTAACATAACCTCCCGATTCGAGCCCCAGAAACAAAAACCTCAAGCCTTCACTGCTGCCTGCCTCGCCCAGTTCTGATAGCCCCAACTTCTTGGGCGGCTCTCTGTATAACGATACTCCAAAATTTCTAACAACACTAACTAACTTGCTAAAGCTAAGTTTCTCGAGATGTAGTCAGATGCTCTCTACCACATACACGAAAAGGAATCTGGATCTAACAGTTCAAATACCTCGGCTCATCACAGTTGAAAAAATCTCGTCGAGATATCTTACAGTACCTTGTATGCTTCTGTCTAGATATACTTCAATCCTGAGATATGTTGCTGTCTCGAGACTAAAGACTGTGCTATTGTATAAATAATCCCCAGAACCCCCAAAATCTTGATCTTCATCACGTCTGCTATTATTATGGACGGCAGATTGAGAGGCAGGGTGATTAGAGGCGTGGTGTCAGCCTGTTTTGTGTAACTCCACACAAAACGATTAAAGAGGATATGACTAGGGAATGTAAGTATGAGAAGTGCCAAGTTTTTTACGGCAAAGAACCAATCCGGACCACCGATTTCGATGCTCCATCCGCCATTCCCATGCCATACGTCCTCCCAGATGCTGAATAGGGTGGTCAACACCAGGTAAACGGATATAGCCACCGTAACAGGGAAATACCTTTGCTTGTCTCCAAATCCAGCAACAAAATCCGAGTCCTGATTGAGAAGCAGCAAAATGGGAGCTAAGAAGAATATAGCTTGGTTTGATCCCCCTGTCAGATTGACATTCAAGATCAGGCATGTGGCAAAGCACATAACAGTAGCAACATTGCCTACTGCTGGCATCCATGCACCCTCAGCGGCCATTCTTTTGATGGTGAAGGTTGGCACAGTAGACACCCGGCGCTGCTGCATGAACCTCATTCTTGGGGCAAAACCAGAACTGCTTTGACTAGATTGACTATGTCGAATGCCACCACTTTCGACTGATTTCTCCCGCATAAGTGAGGCGAGTTCAAATTTGATCTCCAAGGCTATTAGCATGAAGATTGCTGCATACAAGCCAAGCAAAGAAGTCCTGGCCCCTTCAACAGCCAGTAAAGTGGAGAACCTCCTGTCTTCCTCTCCCAAATCTACACTATCTCCAAGAATGCTGTTAATCCTTACCTGACCCTCCAACAGGTAAGTTACAGGGAAGAGAGCTACAAGCGAAGCAAACACCCAGGGTAGTAGCTTTGTGCTTGAAGCAGATGGGATGTGAGTGAAAACCACAAAGACAGAGGTGCAAACCATTGCGACAACAACAAACACATGTAGAACTGCAGCTTGAAGAAAGTACTCGGCTGATATGTATACACCTAGAGCAATGCCCATTGCTATGGAATAGAATGCTCTCAACTCTACAATGTACTTGATAGGTATGAAAGATGTCACGGACGCCAATGTAAGCAAGATTGCAAAGATAAGTAGCCATGAAGGCCAGGTAGGTTTCGATGCAATGAAGCCATAGATAGAGATATCATCAGAAGATTGACGAGCTGCTTTTATCATTTCGGATCGGTAAGTCCATGCCATTGGAATTGGAGGCTGCATTAAGATAAATAATACACCAGTTGCCACCACAAGCACTATGCATCTCTTGGCAGACTGCAAAAGATAATAAAAAATAAAAATTAGAGAGCAGATAATTTAGTAACATGACCAACCAAGGACCAACATTCTTATCAGGATATTGCAGTCGAAAAACATTCATCATTACTCGAGTTCACGGGAAAGGTCTTCTTCCATAAGACCTTCATTTAGTTATATATAAGTTGCAAGTTTACTTTCTAATGTCCATTACAAAGTTAGAGGCTGACCAGCATGAAGCAAATTATAATGGTCTTCTAAGGTGAGAGTTCAGTATGTCCCATCAGTTCACTGCTAGACAGACCAGCAATATCATCACATCATGCATGCATGGTTCAAATCATCTACTTATACATAAGTAGCATCCTTAGATTTAAGGTCCATGCCAAAGCTAAACTGACCCGCATAAAGCAAATTTATAATGGTCTTCAAAATTGAGAGTTCCCAGTATGCCATCATTTTATTGTTAGACTAATCAGTGATTTCATCATATCATGCATGCATGGTCGAAACCGTTTAGCAAGTAGAATATAACATCTTTGGTGGATCTCTAGGTTCTGCGGTGAGTGCTATTCCTTGCATTTAAACAAATGAATATCACAGAACTACAAAATCGACTAAGGAATTCAGAACGAAAACGAACCAGGACATGAGAGAAGTGCAGAGCAACAATTGGGAGACAAGCCAACCCTGTCAAGACAATGCAGAAGCCTAAAACCAAACCATCTGATGGAGACTTCCCATGCCACCATTGGAGGGCTTCAAAAATTGTTTCACGGCAAAACCAGACTGATAGAGCAACCACACTGGCATGTGCATAACCTTGCCATGGTCTCATCTTGGAGGACATTCGGGTCTTATCCCTGGAAAGTGGTTCAGCAGAAATTTAATGAAAGGTGTAATATAAGAAAATAATTAATAAAACTAGTCAACATACATAAGAAAGATAAGTGATAGGAAGATGGAATAGCAATTACTTGTAAAGGAGCATGGGAGGAGAAACAGCAAGTAGAAGTATGGCTGAAACCCATACAACTGACTTTGATGATATGAACAGCATGGCTAACTTTGAAGAATACAGGCAAGTCAAAATCCAGACGGCCTTTGCCCCAATTCGTTGGTCAACAGATAACCTCCTTACTAAAGCCAATCCCGCAAGTGTCGTGATAATAACCATGTAGCTTGGGTACATCAAATCATCCTCCAATCCATAGTAGTATATGCCCGAGTAATTGAAAAATCTGTTCTCGATGTAGCACAGCAGCAATGCATGGCAGGTTAAACCAGCCTCGGCTAGAAAATGAAGTTTTTGAGGGAGAAGGGCTAACCCAGGAATAGCCATGGCAAGCATAACATTAGCGACGATCAGTTTACAAAAAGATTTTAAGGCCATGCCAGCCAACCATATGTTCAGGTCCCAGAAGTTATGCATCACAAACCATGCAACCATCAAGCTCCCAAGAACAACAAAGGAGAAGTATGATGGCAGGCTCTTCTTTGTGAAGAACCGAGCTAGATAAAATCCTGTAACTGATGGCAAAGGAAGGAACTGCGAAGTAAAAACACAATGAGATCAATAGTTGCAGACATTTATTTGAGCTATGCTTGCTTAAGACAACAAACAATCCCACACAAACGAGAATAATAGACAATCTGACGAAGCTGATATTGACAAACACAAGCAGTATCTGTCTCCTTCAAAATATACTTACACACAATTAACAGGGTTCACGTCTATGCAATAATTGGAGTGCCTACATAGCAATTTCCCTCCAGAGAAGCATCATAAGGTGATAAACCAATTAGGCAGACATTGCAGTCAAGACTGCTCGTAACAATATGACACAAGTGAAGTATCCCTATGGCCCAACAAAGATACATCTTCCGAGGATTCTCTACATCAGCTTAAGAGATTGTCTTAAATAGGTTTCTCTTACGCTCCATGCCATCTCCTCAAGGGGGACTAGCCTCGATTTTTAACAAAAGTCTCACAAACAACAATGGCGGGCTAGAGAAGATATAAAATGTCAACAAGGCATTGGCACCACCTAGTTCAGCAATTGAAGTAGAGTTGAGAAAGGAAAAAAAATTACCAGTATCGGGAACCCGACAACAATTGCCCCAGCAGCACTAACAATTACGGCCACAGAGGTGAAAAACAACGAGCTGAAAGCATCGGAAACCATTCCCAATGCATATGCACCAGCACCAGCTGCTCCTCCAAGCATTGTTGTGGTGACAAGAAGATAATTCAAAGGAGGCGGGACCTGAACGTAGCGGCCAAAGGAATGGAAAACGACTCTGACTTCCAATGCAACGATGACCAGGAGCGCCATTGACAATGCGAATGCTGTGAAGCTGTTGCGGGTTCTTGGTAACCCACCGAAGTGCTCCCCTGGTGGAGGCGTAGAGTTGAAGCAGGAAGGGAATGAAGAAGAGCAGGATCAAATCACAGACGGAAGCAGCGGATGAAAACATGACCGAGTAATGAGAGGCCACATGAAACATGAGCGGGAAGAACAGCAAGTAGAGTGTAAGGAAGCAACTCTCGACAGGGCTGAGAATGAAGGTGTCATCGGGAACCTCGCCACCGTGATACTTCACCTCCTGCTTGGCCTTGAAGGAAGAAACGCGAGGGATGGCGAAGAGCCAGTAGAATACGCAGTTGAAGACCATGAGATAGTACGAGGCGTTGTTCATACCGACGGCGGAGATGGTGGCCCAAGCGAAGATGGAGGAAGCAATGAAAGGCAGGCAGGCAAACAGGAGCCGCTCGAGCGCGAGGACGATGCTAGGGTTCTCGAGCTGGATCCACTTGAACTGGAGCGAGGCCCAGACGCCGATGAGGAAATTGGCCTGGGAGCAGAGGAAGGAGGCGAGGAGGCCGAGGGGGACGGAGCTGAGAGCGGAGACGAGGGAGGACGAGGTGAAGAAGAAAGCGACCTGAGAGGCGATCAGTGAGAGCCATACTCCGAAGAAGGCAGCGGACTTGAGGTCGAGGGAGTCGAGGATGTAGGAGAGCATGAGGCCTAGAGTGAGGGTAGCCACGACGGGGGAGCCGCCGAGATCAAGGAGGAAGGCGGCGCAGGGGACGAGAGCAACGGCGATTCTGGCGTTATGAGAGAAGGATGAAGGGGAGAATCGGGATCTTGAGGCGGAGGTGGAGCGGGCGCCGGCAGGGAAGTGAGAGTTAGGGGCGGCGGTCGCGGCGGCGGATTGTTCGGGGGAGTAAGGACGGCCATCGTCGTTGAAGGAGGAGAAAGATGGGGCACTGAGGGAGGAGGATATGTAGGGGCGGAAGAATCGGGGCTGGAGCTCCGGCGGTAGCATTTTCGGCTGTGCAGACAATCACAATTATGGGGGAGAAACCTGAGAAGATAGAATTAAAGGATCGATTAGGACAGATAGCAATAACCGAATCAGTTCACAGGAACGGATTGCTAGGAAGGAGGGATTCTTTGTGGGATTTTAGATGCAGCACCTAAGCTGCAATTGAGTATGAGTCGAAAATGTGCTTCTTGGCACCATGGAGCTTGAATGGAGGAACCATGGAGCTTTCCCCAGTGCTTCTTGGCAATCAGTGGCATTTAAGGAAACGAGTTGGAATAGTCCATGACCTGCATCAAGTACGGTGACTGGTGCCCTTTTTGTCCACAGATTGTTGGTAGTATGTTGGATGCGAATTCTAGATGGATGAGACGAGCAGAGGAGCCGATCGAACAGACTCAGACGAGCTCTGTTCTGCCCAGCTCCCAACACGTCGTCATTAAACTCGATCAGACCTCCCATTGTGGGAAAAATTGAAAGCAGAGAGTGTTCTGCTTTGGGTTTCTTGAAGCAAGGGACTAGAAAGGGAAAGTGAATTCGATGAAGAAGACGATAACTGTTTGGCTTCCATATAAAAGGCCCCACAACTAAGGTAAGGGTCAGGGTATGCTTTAACTGATGGGCAGAATTGTGGGCTATGATTGCGGGCCTCCAAAGATTATAGCAGGGGAGAGTTTTAAGATTTAAACATCTTTCTGGACCGTTCCCTGGGTCTATATGTGAAATAGCTTTTTCAATTCTCCCATTTAATGGGCTTTGCGAGTCCAATGTGCTATCTAGGGTAAATAACAACACAATTACGTCCCTAGGGGTACGCTTCTCAGGCTTAAAGACAACCTTAAATTCGTTGATTAAAACAGGGAATAAATCATTCAATTGCATCCCCATTAATGAGAGTAATGGCGGAGAGAGGAGTTACGTTGCACGGAATTTTGCCCAATCATCACCGGAGCACAATCTCCACGGTTGGCCCTAGAATGGTCGGTGAGTGAGAGAGTGATGGAGGAGGATCCGCCAGTGATTAGGGAAGGAGGATATTGATGAGGGACGAAGATTCTGATATGGATAAACGAGGACTAATTTTGGGACAAAGAAATTTTAGTCACCTGATTTCATATTTATATATGGAAATCTTTAGCCATTAATGCGATAACCGGTGATTCCCACCGGAAGTTGCCGTTCTCTCCCGCCAAGAAGATTGGCACCACCATCGTGGTTTTTCAAAACTTACATTCCGGTCAAAGTCAAGACATCAGAGTACTTTGTTTTCCACTATACAGGGAAGCTTCTCGCTTTTATGCGGTTAAGGTGTAATTCCGGCGTATGCCTGAATCAAGGTTGCCACTGTATAATTCACCCGGCGATCGGAAGTTTCGTTGACACAGTTTTCTATTAAGCAATCAGCCTCGTCTCCATACTCTCCATTCTTCAATTACTCACCTTCAGGAGTCTTCTATTGATGGGGAATTGGGAAGAGAGGGAAGTTGTGTGAGGCGGCAACCCAGTCTGTTGCTAAGTTTCTCCCTAATTGATTAGCTAGTTCATTGTTAGAAGCTTTTTCTGCACTGCGAATCAAGGAATTTCGCTTAAACTTGATCCACTTGATCCGATCTCAAACCAGATGCATATCTTCTGCCACCAACCGCTTACCTTTTACTGGAATTGTACGAGAAGAAAGTTCTGATCTTTTCTTGTTTTAAGATTGTGATTTGGTTCTGTTGCCTCTTCTGCTGACAAGGTCTTTTCTGAATGACACTGTACTGTATTCATATAAATATGTCTGCGATGATTAGTTAGCAACTTAGTCGAAGTTCTGAGTTCTGACTATGAAACCCTAATTTTAGTTCTTGCAATAAGGTAGAAGAAAAGAGCTATACTTCTATTTGTTTTTCGCTTAAACTGTTCAACATACTCCAAAAAGATACTTTTAAAAGTTCACACTCACTCCTGTGATTAGTCAAAATGTGACTAAAAAGTCTCATTACATTTTCAAGAAGACAACAACAATTATGTATCGTGTTTGGATGAGTTAATTGATAATGTAGTATTTGTAGTGTAAATTAATTCTAAATATTATTCTTATGTTTCATTTGTTCATTATTTAAACTATTGGATGTATGGAAAATTTATAAAAAAAATTAATAAGTCAGTTATGACGTACTTGGATTTCTCAATTTTGGGTGATGTTGTATTAGCATTCTGTAAAAAACAATTGCGATGCCTTTCCGGAATGGGTCTCCTTGCTAATCCTAGAGGGGTTAGCATGATAATAACTGATCCTATCTTTTCCCCCCGTAAACTGGGTCCATCAGTGTTCATTTATTTCAACTTCGACCTGACACGAGGGAATTTGGGAGAACAAGTTGAGAATTTGAATTTTGTGTAGGTGACATTTGTCATGATATGAAGGAACCTCGCTACAAAGGGGAAATTAGGGCTTGAGAGAGAATTTCGTGACATTTGAGTTTCTTGCATGTGCTCCGCCCTTTCTCTTCTTCCCTTCCGATCTCGTCAGCGTGCCGCCCTGATCTTGGAGAGAGGATTTCATGTCGTTTGAGTGTTTCACGTTTACTCATCACTATCATCTTCCCTTCCATTCTCGTTAGTGTGTCGCCCGATCATCTGCCTCCTTCAGCTTCTCTCTCCCCCGACCCCTCCTTTCCCCCAAACATAAACCACCACCACCATAATTTAAATCAAATTCCACATTCTCTCTTGCCAACAAATATGAATTTTAGTGTTTTGAGGATGAGATCTGAGTTTCAGATGTGATTTTTCGACGAGTTTAAGTGGAAATGAAGGGGACATGAAGGGAATGGGAAAGAAGGGGAAGAACCAAGAAGAAGATTAACGAGTCGATTCAATGGTTTTGGGTTCAATGTGTTTGGTTCGATTCATTGTGGTGTTTCTTCTCTGCCAAAGAGACTTAAGAGACACCAATGCTTCATTTGACTTGCCACGGTAAGATCTTCCTCGATATGGTCTTCATCCTAGTTGTCGATGATTTTGTACATTTTGCCATCAAATTCAAGTGAATCAAGGAAAAAGGATAAATCTAGCATTGCCAAAAAGGTGAGCCGAAGGAAGTAATGAAGGAGGGTTGACACGAGAGGATCGAGATTTGAGAGAAGGAAGAGCAGTTGAAAAGGCGGAAAGGGATAGATCGAGGGAGAGGAGAGAGCATTCTCCCTTATCGATGGAATGTACTCGTCGAGAAACTCCTCGTTTACAAGATTCCTCCTTTTCTCCCCCTCCTGGACTTATTCTCGTACGTATCAAGAACGATTTGATCCCAATAACTCGAGTTATTGGGAGCAACTGGTTCTTGACATGTTAACAGAGTCTTATGTGTCTGAGAGGTTTTCTTCTTGAATCTCGGTAACACCCATTGGTAAGCACATGGTGTCCGATGCTTGTACAAACTTCAAGCCTATACGAGTGAATTTTATTTGAAGGGTCATGTTACTATATGGTATAAAATTCATTATCGAACCTCTCTCAACAACTCGAGTTATTGGGATCAAGTGGTTCTTGACAGGACGAACCCAAAATCTAAAACACGCTAGCCTGAAATGTCGGCATCTCGTCTTCATCATCCTGACACACAAACTCATGTAGCATATCCCCACCATGCGACAAAGCAATACTAATGGGGACCAATCTAATCTTGCCTCCCTCGCAAATCGAGCTCTATTGTTCCTCCAATGTCATCCTAGCTTCAATTATGCTCTTTATAGTGTTACCACCTCCGTGTCCCAAACTTGGTCTTCCTCTGTTGTGAAGAAACCCAGAAGATCTAAGAGGTCTTGAATCAGTGGAGAGTAAGAGCTTGACATCTTGGAAAGCTTAGGGATTGGGTTAGTGATAAGATGGATTGAGGCTTGGGGGTGGTGATCGGAGGAATAGGGACAAACATTATGGTGACCTATTACATCTTTTATACATGGTCAATTACAAAATAGTCACTAAAAATATCTCATTATCTCTTGATCTAATCCATTACGATCCCCGTTCCTTGAAAATAGGCTTGTCGTCAAGGCTAAAAATGAATTGCAAAACACAACAACCCATAAAATTATAATAAGAACCCAATGAAGAATAAAAAACCAAAAAAGAAGAAGTTCATTAAGTGCAATAGATGACAATGGCTGCAAGCAGTGAGTTATGCTTGTGAGAACATAAGTGGAAAGCCAAAAATGTCAATACTTCAAAGTCAAGCCAGCTCCCACCATTAATAAGCCACAATCAACACCTTCAGTTCCACCAAGAAGCTACAACCGATTATTCAACTTCAAAGGATATTTCATATCTTCAATTACTTCCAACCACTACCTTGTCTATTGAATCTTTGTATGGCTCCTTATAATTGGGATAGTAACCCCTCATAAACGAATTCTCATGACCACAACAACTATTAAAATTCCCCTTTAGACACAACCCTCCAGCAAGCAATACCCATCACCAACAACGTGAATGAGTCGTGGAATGAATAAAACATCTTTATAAGACTCATTAAAGGTTGGTTTTGTCCCCTGCCATGTGAATTAACAAAATCACAAGAATAACCAACACAATAAAGTACATGTGTATCACCAACAATCATCTGAGTTTTGTGACAACCCTTGAACTCCCAAGCCTGAGTGCTTTGCACTAGAGTAAAAGGCGCTGCAATACTAGTACTCCCTTTGGTAGAATGTCAAGATAATCCTTAGGATGTAATGGTTGCTTCCTGTTTCTGGCCTCAATGACATCTTCTTCCAATTAAGCTTGGTGGTATGCTTGGAGAAGAGTTGTGGCTGAGACTTCCTCACCAATGCTTGAATCTCGCTTGACAAGCCACAGATAAAACTCTAATGAAGCAAGCCTAAGGTAACATGGGATCCAGCCTAAGAAATACCACTTTCACCACCTCAAATCACTCATGATATTACTCCAATGATTCTAACTTCCTAAGGTCTATTGAACACTCCAACTACCCTTTCTATAATCCTAAAAAAAAAGAGCACACAAATCTTAAGCAAATGTTTCCCAACGATGAAAAATCATGATCAGAATGCAAATATTGAAACATCTTAGGGCATTCCCCTCAAGAAAAATTATGTCTGACCCACCTTGTCATTATCAGCTACATTGTAGGTACGAAACACCTCTTCTCAATGCCTAACCCAATCCCTTAAGGTCATTACATGAGAAAGAGGGAATTGGTAGGCTAGGGAGATGATTATGTTATTTAACTAGAAGTGGAGGTGGAACTCCTCGAGCATGGTACTCTTTATCCATTGACGGAGGAACCTATTCGTGATGACGGGTGAGCTCAACTGGAGGTGGAGGTGAAGAAACAGGTTGAACTGAAAGTGGAACTCACCAACACCCTTCATGTTTTTTCGGTTGTGGTGGCAATGAAGTTTTATAGATGTTGCAGGCTTCGATTGAATCAAGAATCGATTTGACAGTTCTAGGCGGTTGAGAAATTAGTGTTCCAGAAACCACCATCGTCGGAGAGAAACATAAAGATTGATTTCCTCTGGAACCCGAAGGAACA